TAGAAGATGCAGAAACAATTCCAGATATATATATATATATATATATTCAGCCACCTTATCTTTGACAAAGGAGCCAAACATCTTCACTGGAAGACAGATAGCCTCTTTTTTTTTTCGTACCAGGGATTGAACTCGGGTCCTCGCACTTGCGAGGCAGGCGGTAGAACCACTGAGCTAAATCCCTGGCCCGACAGACTCTTTAATAAGTGGTGCTAGAAAAACTGGCTTTCTACGTGCCAAAGATTGAAACTAGACCCGTATCTTTCACCATTCACTAAACTAAAAACAAAATGGACCAAAGATCTAAATATTAAAACAGAAACGCTTAATCTACTGGAACAGAATAGAACTCTTGAAGACACTGATATAGGCAAAGACTATGAACAAAACCTCAACTGCACAGGGACTATCACAAAGAATCAACAACTGGGATCTCATTTTATTAAGCTTTTGCACAGCAAGAGAAACCACCAAAAGAGTGAAGAGACAACCCACAGTGTGGGAAAAAATTATTGCCCACTATTCCTCAAAGGACTAATATCTAGAATATATAAAGAACTCAAAAAAATTAGACCCCACAAATTTAAAGACCCAATTCAAAAAAGGGCATCTAACATGAACAGACACATCTCAGATGAAGAAGTAGAAAAGGCAAATAAGCATATGAAAAAATGTTCAACATCACTGGTCATTTAAGAGACCCAAATTAAAACAATGCCAAGATTCCATCTCTCTCCAGAAAGAATGGCTGTTATCAAAAGATTAACCAATAACAAATACTGGCAGGGCTGTAGGGAAAAAGGAACTCTTCTCCCCTATTGGTGGGAGTGTAGACTGGTGCCACCACTGTGGAAGTAAGTGTGGAAATTCCTCAAAAACCTAAAACTAGAGGCTCTATTCCTCTTCTTGGTATCTTCCTGAAAGAATTAAATGGATCATACCACAGTGATATATGCACACCCATGTTTACAGTGATGCAGTTTATAGTAGCTTAATCCCGCTGACAGGCCAAATGCCTATCAACCGAGAAATGGATAAAGATGTGTATTTTTTATGCAACGGAGTACTACTCTGCCATAAGCAAGGATGAGCTTGAGAAGTTTCTAGCTAAATGGATGCATCCTGCGAACATACTCTTAAGTGAGATAAATTGGACATGTTTAAATACTGCATTGTTTCTCTGGTGTGAGAAACCAAAAGTGGAAATAAGGGCTAAAATGTATAACAGATACTAGGAAATGGGACGAATATGTTCAAGGGGGGAGGGGCACAAGGGGGAGGGGAAAGGGAAGGAAAGGACAAGAAAAAAAGTGAAAATAGAAAAAAATGGAAACAAAGCTTTTGTTTATAGGGAGAGGAGGGGGGTTCAAGGAGAGGGTGGGAAGGAGAAAAAAAGAAGAGGCAGGATATATCATGTACAGGTGCAAACTCCCTATGATGAGTGTTATCATTATGTATACCTAAAATGTACCAATAGGGCCAGGGATTTAGCTCAGTGGTGCTGCCGCCTGCCTCGCAAGCGCAAGGGCCTGAGTTCGATCCCAGGTACCAAACAAAACAAAAAACAAACAAACAAAAAAAGTCTAAAATGTACCAATACATGTTTTGCTTCCAAAAAAAGAAACAAAATCCCTATGATAAATGTGAGCACTATGTATGGCAAATATGTACTAATGAAACTTTTTTTAAATTAAAAAATACAAATTACCCTTCAGTCCAGAAATTTAAAGGACAAAACAAAAAACATTCTTTTTAACCTCTAAAGTTGTTTTCATCTGAGTTAGCTACCAATGTTATCAAGTTGGCGATACCACAGAAACAAAACCAAACGAAAATCCTCCACAAGCTGGGCATAACCGGTTGCACATGCCCACAATCCCAGCACTTGTGAGGCTGAGGCAGGAGGACTGCCACAAGTTAGAGACCAGCCTAGGCTACATGGTGAGTTCAAGGCCAGCCCTGAACTACAAAAACAAACAAAAATCATCTATCTTTTTCTGGAAAAACGAAAAAATCTGGCCACCTCTGGCCACAGTCCTGCCAGGCAGCATCAGGATGGTCACAGCAGCTGCTGCCCCCTTCAGATGGAAGCTGTTCTCCACTATTCCGTGCCCTGAGCATCACCCTGCTCTCCCAAAACTAATAAATATTTCCTTGAAGATACAAGGAATGATTGAAAAACAGGGCAAATATTTAAATTTTTAAGTAATTCAAGAAACACATTGCCATTCATCGCCCTCAAAATCCTCCCCGTTGCTTCCCACAATACACTTACCACATCATTCTCGCCACTTTCTGAAGCAGCTCTGGTCTGGTGTCCTCTTTCCTGAGTGCCTTCAGTTGCACTGTCCTGGCTGCCTCGATATCCTGAATGCATTCAAATGCTGACTTTTCCTGGTCATTCTGGCACGGTGCCAGATCCAGTGAATAAGGTGGATGAGGTCACAGCATGTTTTTAGGAGCTTGCCTTTCCCTTGGATGGTACTTTGTACAGTGGTCACTGTACTTTTGATCACCCCTCATAAAGATACTCATGAAAGAGACTTTTTTGTTTGTAGGATAGGAAATATTTTAAATAATTTATTTTATGAATAAGTATTTCATAGTGTACAGTATCTTGAAAAAATGAGGTTCTAAAATATATAACTCGATGTTATAGCTATCAAAATCAGTAATTCATTTTATATTATCTAATATCTAGTTCACATACACACTTCCCAAATTGTCTCAGAAATGGCTTAAGTTACTTTATTTGAAAATCTTACATATTTCTTATCCCAGTTAAGGAGGAGGGATGACTTAAGACTCTCTACACAGTGAAAACTGTTGAAATTAACTGACGAATACATGGATGACCATTATATTGTCTTCTCTACATTGAAATATAGAAAAATGCCCAGAATAAAGAGTTAAAAGAAATTGTTAGGTTAGGATCTAAACAAAGGAAGACCACAAAAGACAATAATTGCAAAAGTATAGGGCTGGGGATTTAGCTCAGCGGCACCGTGCCTGCCTTCCAAGCGAAAGGTCCTGAGTTTGATCCCAGGTACCACCAAAAAAAAAGCATATAATAGGCTTATACAAACACACAAAAATGCTACCTAACATGTAATCCAAATTAAGGCTACAAATCAGTGATTCCATTTTCTTTCATCAAACAAAGGTCAAAATGTGGCAATATACCATACTAGGGGAGGGGAGGCAAAACATTGATAGTGGAAGTACAAATCAGTACTTCAGAGGTTTTTGCTTTTTGCTTTTTGAGACAGGGTCTTGCTATGTAGCCCAGGCTGGCCTCGAACTCCCTGCATCCTGCCTCAGCCTCCCGTGTGCTAGGATTACAGGCATGTATCACCATGCCCAGATTTATTTAGCTTTACCTTTCAAAGTTATAAACACACATACATCCCTTGGCCCAGTAATTCCACTTCTAGGAAATTATTCTACAGCTATTCACTCATTCAACAAGTATCTTCTGCCACCTATGTGGCAGGTGCTGGAGATACAGAGGTGGAGAACAGCCTGCTTTTGTGATGGTTGTGTTCTCCTAGGACAGGAGACACAGGATCAGCAAGTATGCATGCAATTATAGCAATCAGAATGTCAAGCAGGTAACCAGGTAAACAGGGCTGCGCTGCAAGGCCTCTCTGAGCCTGCAAGGCACCAGAATAATGTTGGAAAGAGGCAACAAGAACCCTTAGGGTGACACACAAATTTGGCCTTCCTTTCCTGTTCTGCTTTTATTCCCCTAACAGTCTTGTGTTTATCTAAAGGACTCCACTCCAATGTTTCTGACACAAAACCAAAAAACAATCGGGTCCTTTTAATACAGCACTCTAGGGAGGTGCAGGGTAACACTGTTTCCCCAAACATTACCGTGCATAGCAATTCGATTCTTCCAACTTATCTTTTATGCTAAGCATGTTAATAAAATGTTTTAGAGACAATCATGAGTTCTTAATTCAGACAAGCCTTGCCAAAGAGAACAGATCAGGAGCCAGGGATGTAGCTCAGTGGCGCCGCGAATGCCTGGCAAGCACAAGGTCCTGAGTTCGAACCCTGGTACGGAAAAAAAAAAATGAAGCTTCAAAGACAACAGCTCAGTTTTACAAAAGCTACTTGTTAATTCTAGTCACACACAAAACCAAAACTGTCCGCCCTTCTCTCCTGGCAGGATTGCCAATCACAGACTTACAGGCCTCCATACTTCAATTTCATGATCTTTTAAGTATGGAAGTTGAAATTCCGATCTTCTTTAGAGGCAATTTGGATAAATATTTCATACTGATGTGGCCTGTATCAACAGAAGTCATTCGAAATGACCCCCAAAGAAAGGACTCTTCCACGACAACTGAGAACATTACATTCTAATTTCATCGAACATCTTGAAATATCGAAGGCTTCAAAATTACCATGCTCTACAAACAGCCAAGATGGAAAGAAATCTGTCTCTGTAAAGTACGTTCCTCTCTCGATTTTGAAATCAGCTTTACATAACCACAGATCCTTCCCGAAGCGAGGACGCAAAAACCCAAACGACTTCAGGACTCACAGATTCCAAGGAGACCGGCGCCCGCGTGCAGGCTGCTAAGCGCCAGGAGCACCCGCGCCGCCCGCCGGGACGCGAGACACCCTTCCCTCGCGAGGTCCCGCAGGCCAACTCGCATTCCCAGGTTCCGCGGGCGGGGTCCTCTGACAACCTCGAAGCACCCGAGACCCGGGCACCGAGAGCTCCGGACCCAGGGCGCAGGCCAAGGACGGGAGGTCCGAGCGACCCCCGCGCTGCGCTCCCACGGCCTCCTCGGGGTTGGGCGCGGGAGCGGTGAGCTAAGGTCCCGCGCGGAGGGGACAGGGCTGGGGTCGCAGCGCCGGGCTGCAGAGGGGTCGGGGGTCAGGGACAGGACGGGGGCCCCGCGGCCGGGACGTCTGAGGGGTCGGGGGGACGGGAACCGGGTCGGGATCCGCCGCATCCGGGGCTCGCTGTCCCAGCCCCACCTCACCTGCCCAGCGCCCGCTTCATGCCCGCGTCGGGCGCGCTGCGCGGCTCCGCCGGCCCCGGGCCCGCCAGGCGCAGGTTCCGCTTCAGGCGGCAGTCGGCGTCCAGCGCCGCAGCGGCCGAGCCGGAGGAGGAAGAGCCCGCGGCGGCGCAGCGCTCATGCTCCAAGGTGCCGGGCTCGGCCCGCTTCCTCATCCCGCGGCCGACAGCCCGGCTGCCCTCGGTGCCCCCTTGGCTTTGCCCGACCGCAGTCGCCGCCGTTCGCCGTTCGCCCTTAGCCGCTCGCCCCTTGCCGCCGCCAGGAGCCGGAGCGCAGCTCACATCCCGGGCAGCTCGCCCCACAGGCGCCTACGCCGGCCGCCACGCCGGCCAATCAGCGCCGGGCTCGGGCAGGCTCCGCCCCTCATCTCCTCTTCCCGGGTTCCGAGGCCTGCAGCCATCTTGGAGAAGGGCGGGTGAAGCCGTAGCCGAGCGTTCTCGTCAAACAGGGCTGAGCTCTGGATCTCACTACGCCGCGAACTCGGGTCAGTCCTTGTCGCTAGATGGATCCCATCGGGCTGCAGCGGTCCGAACGGGAGAACGCTGGGAGGTCGCTGGCCAGAAACGGTTCACCGGGCGACAAAAGTCGCAGCGCAAAGCGGGCGCCCCAGCACCGGCTCCTGAAATGCCCCCAGCCAAGATACCCCGAGATGTCCCCGGTCAGGAGACCCCAAAATGCCATTAAGGTTTGGGCGAACTAACAGGCAACAAATCACAATTCCGTTCTAATAATTTATAGCAATCTTCCTACAAGGACTCTACCTTTAAAAACATGCTTCCTAGCGGCTCTTCGCCTGCCTGGCAAGCACAAGGTCCAGAATTCAATCCCCGGTACAGAAAAAACAAAAACCAAACAAACAAAAACCATGCTTCCAGATAATTTGAAAAAAAATTCATAGATATTTAGCTTTTGGGTCTAACGTATGAAAAATGATCTGCTTAAACAATTTACTCTTTGAAAACCTGTGTTAGATTTTAGATGCCTATGAAGTGATTAGAGCCAGACTTGGTGGCACACACGTGTCAAAATCACAGCATTTGGGAGGCTGAGGCAGGAGGATCGCTGCGAGTTGAGGCCAGCCTGGGCTACATAGTAAGTTCAAGGTCAGTCTGAACTACATAGTGAGACCCTCTCTCCAAAACAAAATAAAACCCAATGGGGAGGGAATAAAGTGATTAGAACTGACAAATGCAAGGAAATGCATTTCAAAGATAAATTTGAACTTGTGAAACCCAAATTAAGCATTAACTTACCCATCCTAAAGAGATAAAAGGAAATAATAATTTTCACACATTTAGTTTTGTTGTTTTGGTTTTAATACACAACCATTAATTTTACAAATAATCTTGGGCAAGAGATATACTTGCTTACTTATCCCAAAGGTTTTTTTTTTCCTGGGTTTTCTGAGTTTATTATTATTTTTATTATTATTATTTTATTTTTAGGAAATCAGAAGTTTTTTGGGGGGGAGGGTACCAAGGATTGAACTCAGGACCTTGCACTTTCGAGGTAGGCGCAGCACCACTGAGCTAAATCCCCAGCCCTAGGGTTTTCTGTTTTGAGGCAGTATCTCACTATGTAGTTCAGGGTGGCCTCAAACTTAAAGCTATCCTCAAACCTCAGCCTCCTGAGTGCTGGAATTACAGGCATGCACCTGGCTCCAAAACTACTTTTGTAACATCAACATCTGTGCCAGTTTGAAGATTACTTGATAATAAAGTTGATAAAGATCAATTACAAGCTGGGTATAGTGGTGCACGCCTGTAATCCCAGCACTCTGGAAGCTGAGGTAGCAGGATCACCAGCCTGGGCTACATAGTGATACCTCATCTCCAAAAAAAAAAAAAAAAATCAATTAGCAATGTCTTTAGAAATGTACTGGTCCTTAACTTTGTAATGATATTTTAAGTTGCAAAAGAATTTCTTTGACCATGTTACAAAGTATCACAGCCTGTATTCATATTTGTGTGGATATGTAAATACTCACTTTAAAAAACAAACAGTACTGGAGATTTGGGGATCTAGAAACAAAAGTGTATTAAAAGAACAAAAGCCTTTGACCCTATCATTCACAAAATTTTATTTACAGAAAAAAAATGCAAAGAAGAAAGGGCTGGAGAGAAGAAGGAAATCCAAGGGCTACTGAATCTTTTGCTGGCACCAGCCCCTGCCCATGCAGTCCTCAGCTGGTCAGGCCTTAAATATCAAGATATCAAGACGCACTGGTGAAGCCCACTTCCGAAGTCTCTAGGTCACAACCCTCTCTGAACCCTGGGCTTCTCTACCAATGGTCTACCAGTCCCTGAAGGCACCTAAAAGCTGAGTTCCCAGGCTGCGGATGTAGCTCAGAGGTACAGCACTTTGCTAGCATGTGTGAGCCCCTGGGGTTCAGTGGGCAGCACAGCAACAAAACACAGTTGAGCACGGCTCAACTCTAAGAGCTCCTCCTGCACTTTCTCAGGCCAAACTCTGTTGTCACCCTTGGTTCCTCCTTTATATGCTACAGCATCTCTGTCCCCTAGCTGATGCTGACCTTTCAAATCTACCTAGGATCCAGCCACTGTGGACAAACAGCCATCATCCTGCACTTTGCGTTTTTTTTTTTTTTAAACTAGGATTGAACCCAGGACCTTCACACCGAGCTATATCCCAGCTGTTTTTGATTTATTTTGAGACAAGTTATCACTAAATTGTTAAATTCCCCAGGCTGGGCCAGAATTTGTGATCATTCCGTCTCAGAGTCCCACACTGTTGGGATTACAGGCTTGCACTGCCATGCACAGCTTCACCTGGATTATTTTAATGACGTAGGGGATTTCTTGCCTCACTTCTGTCTAATTAGGTTGGCTTACCACATAGGATTTTTTAAAAACTATGTCAAAATCTGTCAGTTGTTTACTAAAAACACCTCAGTAGTCCCCTCCTCACTCAAAACAGAAAATGTCTGAATGGAAGGGCCTACAGAACCTAGGACTTTCCTTTAGTCTCCTCTGGTCTCAGGCACCAGCTTCCACCTCCTGCTCTAGCCACCACATCCTGCTCAGGACCTTTGCACTTCCCAGGACCCAGACCTCTCTGCCCTCTAATAGCTACACTGACAGGGCTTGCTCCCTCCCCACAGGTCTGTGTGTTCTGAACACTTTAACTCTAAACTTTGTCAGGCCTGACATAAGTGAATCCTTCACAAACAAATGATAAAGCAAACAAGCTGCTTTTAGCAAACAATAGCAGCTTCTCAGTAAATAGGGCAAATGGACTCAAAACGAAGTATACAACCCCCCCGGCACTGAGAAGTCCAGTGATTTGTCTGCACACCTCAGCAGACCATCCTTGAGCATCCAAGTCATAAATATTTCACCCCAGATTCCTTAGCACCTTCAATACCTAGCTTAATTCATCTCCCAGTTAATTGTTTAAGAACTCCTCTCGACAAATTAGAGGAATTCTTTTTTTTTTTTTTGGTACCAGGGATTGAACTCGGGCCCTTGCACGGGCGCCGGAACCACTGAGCTAAATCCCCAGCCCAAATGTAAGTGAGGTTTATTGTTTTGTTTTGTTTTGGTACCAGGGATCGAACTCGGGTCCTTGTGCTTGTGCAGCAGGCAGCGAAACCACTGAGCTAAATCCCCGACCCTCAGTTAATTGTGAATATCTCTCTCCTAGTATTAGCCCAGTCACTCAAGGATGAAATCTCTCCTGCTATCTAGCTGCTGCTATCTCTCTCCCGATGTCAGCCCATCCACACACAGATGTCATAAAACTTGGCTTTTCCCAGCTAGCTGCTAAAATCTCCTGATTTTAGTCCCTGTTAACTGGATAAACTTTCCTTTCAAAAGTGTTTTGACAAGTGGATTCTTTATAATACTTCAGACTCTCTCACTGTCACTCTGTTCACTTTTCTTGGCTTAGTTTTGTTAACGATTAGCACCAGTATTTTTGGCATCAATATATTTGTATCTGCATGTTGCTGGTTTCCCACACTGCAATGTAGGCTAAAGAAAGGATCTTGTTTGGGCCGGGGATTTAGTTCAGTGGTTTCGGCACCTGCCTCACAAGTACAAGGTCCCAAGTTCATCCCCGGTGCCAAAAACTAAAAATAGAAATAAATTAAAATTTAAAAAAAGAAAGGATCTTTTCTACTGCTTCAGGGTTCGACTAATGCCTGGGTCATAACAGGTACCTCATAAATTTTTGCTGAAGGAAAGATTTTGTTCATTACAGCTCCTCAGAGGTAGCATTACTGTCTTGGTTCTAGAAATGAGGTGAGCATCTAAAGTATTAGAAACAGCTAAATTTGATAGAAAGTAATATGCAGTCAGAGAGGGATTAGACTCTCAGAGTCAGCACAAAAAAAATAGACGTCTGGGGCTGGGGATTTAGCTCAGTGGTTCCACTGTCTGCCTTGCAAGCACAAGGACCCAAGTTCGATCCCCAGTACCAAAAAAGAAACCCCAACCAAATAACAAAAAAAATAGACGTTGGAATTGTGGCTGAATCTGAAGAAAGCGAGGCCTCAGGATGGAGTCATAGTAGTCAGGCCTTTGAGATAAACAGCAACTTGGATTATACTGTAATTAGCACCATCTGGTCCAGTGAGCCCAGGTAGGTATGAGACATACAGGTGGATGACCAGAACATCTGGACCCATACTGCGTTTCCTTCCCCTAAATGTCTTTGTTCTTTCCATATACCCTTGCTACATGACTCACTTCCCTATTGGATCAGTACTAGCTCAGTGGCTATACCTGTAATCCTATAGGTTGATTGTAGTTTGACCCATGTTGTACCTACATTGTGATTTTGCTGTATAAAATACTCTTGATAAAGAGCCTCAGCACCCACCCGTGTGGGACTCCTAGAAATCCAGGAGCTATTCTTAATTCCAATAAAACTCGCCTAACTTCGTCCTTTAGTTTACAGCTTCATTCCTTGATGTGAGACCATGAACTTGGCACATCTGACATCTGTCAGGTTGGGAGTTATATTTTTTCCATATCAAAGAGACTTTGCCTCCCAGCTGAAACTGAAAAGGTACGAGGGTGAGGAGGGTTGTGGATGCTATGCTGCAGCATGGTCCACTATAGAACTGTGTATTTGATAATAAATACTTAGCTATGAACCAGGTGAGGTAGCACACACCTGTAATTCCAACACTCAGGAGGCTGAGGCAGGAGAATTGCAAGTTCAAGGCCAGTCTGAGCTACATAGTGAGTTTGAGACCAGTCTGAAGTACATAGCAAGACCCTGTCTCAAAAGCAAAACAAAACAATAAAAACACTTAGCTAAATTATTCCTTACTGTGGAGATGAAAAGGAAATATCACTCAGCATAAGGGTAAGATTTAGTGGCTTTAAGGTAGGCCAGTCCCACTCCCACTTTTTCAGATATGTACTACTGTATCTGCATTTGTAAAAGAGCAACGTTGTTTCTAGGGTTAGTGACAATGAATTCAATATTGGTTTTTGGAAATTAATATTACTTGCTTAGGGCTTAGGAATACAGCAAGCATGAGGCCTTGGATGTTTGCTCTCCAGCAACAAAAGAAGGCAGGGAGTATTACTGCTTTTCAGAAAATAGCCAAATAAAATGAATTGCTTCTATGTCAATGATTTCTATCTTTGATTCTATAGTTTAGGAAACTTTCCAAAATCATCTAGGCAATAAAACGTTTGTTGAAGTTGTGGTAATCTAGGAATTCTCTCCCTCTTATGTCACTTTTTGTGTGTGTGTGTGCTGGGGATCCAACCTAGGGATTTCCATGCTAGGGAAGTGCTCTATCACTGACCCTGCATCCCCACAAATGCTTCTATTTTATTTTATTTATTCTCAGTTCAAGTTTAATAGACATTACAAAAGATTAGTGAGTGGGCTGATGCCCTGCTACTGGTACATCATACATTAGCAGATAGTCTACCTCATGACGCAGCTCAGGCCGTTACTACTAGTGGAAGAAAAGAAGGTTTCCCCAACTCCTGTAGGAAAGGCATGTATTGCCCCACACCACATCTTGTGTTTAAAGGATGTAAAAAAAAAAAAAAGTACAAAAGAGCTTTTGTTCTCATGGCCCAGTGTTCACTTCTGCTTGGAGAAATATTTTTTGCTCTTCTGGACGTCAGGGGTGATAGCATCACTACCAGGCTCCCACCCAGCTGGGCACATTTCTCCATGTGTCTGTGAACTGGAGGCCTGACCAAGTCTCAGAGTCTCATCCACACAGCAGCCACCAGGAAGGTCATCCCTTATCATCACCTGAATGAGATGTCATCGTCAGCCTTTAAGACTGCATAATCTTGAGCAATAGTGCGCTTGGGATGTGACACCAAGGGGATGTTCATAGGCCCCATCCTCCTTGTTTCTTGGGAGTGTGGATCCATGCCAGATGACAGAAGAATCCTCAGAAGCACTAATCAATCACTTGGCAGTTAGTTTCTTAAATTCTTCTGCCCAGTTACTGAAAGCAATTATTTTCACAGGGCACACAAAGGTGAAGTCAAGAGGGTAAAAGAAGACCACAACATATTTTCTTTTGTAGTCAGGCTGGTATCTTTGAATTGACCATCTGGCATAACAGCTGTGACTTTAAAGTTGGGGAAAAGGTGTCTAATTTTGGCATTTCTTTTTCTTTTTGGTTCCAGGGATCGAACTGGGGTCCTTGCGCTTGCAAGGCAAGCAGCAGAACCACAGAGCTAAATCCCCCGGCCCTTGGCATTTCTTGAAGACATCTTGCTACAGAAGTTCCCACACCCAGGTCCCCCAACTGCAGGCCACCCACACCAGGCAGGAAGAGGACCCCACGAATGTTTTTAAATGACTTATAGAATCAGAGTGGTACCATAGAGCTGAAGGTAAAAAGCTTAGCCACAGAGGTCTAATCCATTTACAAGCAGTGTGACCTTGGACAAATTACCAAACTACAGTTTCCTTATCAGTTCTCCAATATGTATCCACCTTTAGCCTGCTATGGTGGCACAAGCCTGTAATCCCAGTACTCCGGAGGCTGAGGCAGGAGCCCGGCTATACAAGGAGTTCAAGGCCGGCCTAGACTACCCAGCAAGATCCCATCTCCTAGGTCACAGTCCCAGCCACACTGGAGGCACCCAATAAAAGATGGTTACCTTGTCTTAACTCTGTATTCCCCTTTTCCCAAAGCTCTTGGTAACATCTAAATCAGTGATGGTGAACCTTTTAGAGCATTCAATGATATAAACAGCTCTTTCAATGACATAAGTGGTGGCACTTGTACCTTAACCTCCCTTCCGACCTAAGGTAATGAATGGATCAATGCAAAAAGGAAGCTGCAGGGTGTGCCAGTCGCACGGTCAGCGACCTGGGCTCTCAGAGACTCTTGGTTCAGCCTAGGCGCACAGGCCGTCTGCCGCCTACTCGCAAATCTTTACCACTTCACTGCGTTCCCCCCCGGAATACGATTTCTCAGCGGGGATAAATGTTCCTTTGTGGCCGCCGTAGGCCGGGAGGCCCGGCAGTGAGTTCCTATTGGCTGGATGTGTTTGGCGCCAAAGCCGGCAAAGGCGGAGAGGAGGCACCGGACCTGTGGGGCACTGAACAACTTGAGCTCGCCAGAGCCCAGTGACTGTTTGGCCTGAGAAGTAGCGGTGGAGGGGGCCGAGAGACCGGGGCGCGTTTGCCATGTTTTGTGAAAAAGCTATGGAGCTAGTACGCGAGCTGCACCGCGCACCGGAAGGGCAGCTGCCCGCTTTCAACGTGAGAGAGCTGCCGGGCTCTGGAGGGTCATGAGGAGGGCGTGGCCAGGGCGGAGAGAACAGGGGCGGGCTTAGGTGTGGTCTGGCTTGGGGGTGGGCCGGGCGGGAGCCCCGGGAAGGGCCTGGGCGCGGTCTGTCCTGGGGGCGGGGCCTCGGGCGGGTCTTGGGAGCGTGGAGTCGGGTAAGGGTGACAAGTTTGTGCCACCACACCTACCTAAGGGTGACTCTTGGGACTCGATGCTCATAAAGATACAACAACCTGTAATTCCAGTACTGCTATATATCGGGAAAAGTGGATATTGCTTCTCTAGATTATTGACAGAGCTACTGTATAACATGAATTTAATATTTTACTTTTACAACAGAAAATGTTTTAAAAATTTACTTCAAAGTTGACAGTAGGGAAACTCCCTTGGCCTTTTTCTACTACTTCCTTTTTGTTTTGTTTTGAGCCAGGGTCTCACTATGTAGTTCAGGCTGGCCTTGAACTCACTCTGTAGCCCAGACTGGGCTCGAACTCACTCCAATGCTCCTGCCTCAGCCTCGCAAGTGCTGGGATAACAGGCGTGTGCCATAATACCTGGCTTGGCCTTTTTATTCTTGCAGTACAAACTAAAAACATTTTAAAAAACAAAACAAAACAGGCATGGTGGCACATACCTGTAATCCCACTTGAGAGGTTGAGGCAGGGGGATGAGGAATTAGAGGTCAGACTGGGCAATTTATCAAGAACCTATCTCAAGATAAAAAGGACTAAGATTGTAGTTCAGTGGTAGAAAATCCCTGGGTTCAATTGTCAGCACCATAAAAAACACTTTAAAAATTAACCTTTAGGGCCAGGTATTTAGGTCAGTGGTGCTGTGCTTGCTTGGCAAGCACAAGGTCTTGAGTTCAATTCCCAGTACCCCCCAAAAAAACAAAACACCAAAAATTAACCTTTAAAGGCCAATTTTTCAGTAAACTGTAAATTATTTAAAAGCTTTTATTGCTTTTGTATGACCCAATTTTTTTGTCATCGGTTTTTTGTTTGTTTGTTTGTTTGTTTTGGTACCAGGGCTCAAACTCAGGTCCTTGCACTCGTGCAGCAGGTGGCAAAACCACTGAGCTAAATCCTCGGCTCATGTTATCAGTTTTATTGAAGTATACTTTGTGTATGACAAAATATATAGTTGAAGTGATTTTTGAATTTTAACAAATATACATACATTTTTTTGTTTGTTTTGAGACAAGGTCTTGCTATGCAGTCCAGGCTGGCCTTGAACTCACTATGGTGCCCAGGCTGCCTTCGAATTTGTGGCAGTCCTCCTGCCTCAGCCTCCCAAGTGCTGGGATTACAGGGGTGTACTACCATGCTCGGCTATACATCTTCATATCTAGCACCTTGATCAATATTTTTATGGCCACCGAAGTGTCACATCCTCCATTGTAGCTATCACCTACAGTCTGTGGCAACCACAATTTACTGTTTCTGATTGCTGATTATATTTTGTCATTTTAACATATTGCTGGGTTGAAATGCCAGGAGTTGGCAAACTTTTTCTATAAATGGCTAGATGGAATCATATAGTATACCTTTTTTGGTTTTGGCCTCTTCTGCTTAAATAATGGATTTGGAATTATGTATGCTTTGAGATTATATGTATGTCTTCAGTAGTTCCTTTTTTATTTTTACTTTTTTTGGTAAAAGATACATAATATAAAGTTTATCACTATAACCATTTTTAATTACAATCACATAGTTATCTGACTATCACCACTATTTTCAAACCCTTTTCATTACCCTGAACAAAAACCATCGTCATTGAGGCAGGTGTGGTGGTGCACATCTGTGATTCCAGTACTCAGGAGGCTGAGTCAAGAGGATCGCCATGGGTTCAAGGCTAGGCTGGCCTACATAGTGAGTTCAAGGCCAGCCTGAACTACAGAGTGAGACCCTGTCTCAGAAAACCAAACTAAGGCTGGGGCAAACCAAGCTCAATGGCAACATGCCTGCCTCGAAAGTGCAAGGTCCTGAGTTTGATCCTAGGAACCACAAAAAAACCCAAACCAAACAAAACATCTCCAGTGAGTAATAACTCTGTATTCCCCTTTTCCCAAAGCTCTTGGTAACATCTAAATCAGTGACAGTGAACCTTTTAGAGCATTCAGTGATATACACAGCTCACTGTGGCACTTGTACCATAGGTCTGCCACTGCTCTAAACTATTTCGGATGAACAGAATCATACAGCTGTCTTTTTATGTCTGGAGTCTTTCATTTAGCATATAATTTTCGAGATTCATCCTTGTTGCAGCATCTATCAATACTGGTACTGATTTCTTTTTATAGCCAAATGATATACCACATTTATTTACCCGACAGTGTGGACAGATATGATATTTGGAGTGTTTCCCAAATTGTGTGTGTGTGTGTGTGTGTGTGTGTGTAACAGAGTCTTACTTTGTAGCCCAGGCTGACCTTGAACTTGCAATCCTCCTGCCTCAGCCTCCCATGCAGCTGAGATTACAGATGTACACCCCACCATCCCTAGCTTGTTTCTACTTTTTGACTTTTTTTTCCAGTACCGGGAATCAAACTCGGGACCTTGCTCTTGCCAGTCAGGTGCAGCACTGCTGAGCTACATCCCTGGCCCTTTTTGACTATTTTGAATAATGCTGTTAAACACATTTATATACAAGTTTTTTGTGTGAACATGTTTTCAATGTGCTTGTGTCTATGCCTAGGAGTGAGATTGCTAGATCATGTGGTGATTCTGTGTTAACTTTTTGGAGGACCATTGGATTGTTTTCCACAGGGCTCTGCCATTTTACATTCCTTTCCAACACATGTTATAGCCATCCTAGTAGTGTGAAAGGGCTATTGCTTTTTGGTAAGGTATATAAATCAAAGATAAATATAGTGCAGATAGAATATTGTCACAGAGTTGGTAGAGGAAATAAATGAATGTGTATTAATATCAGTTTGTGTGTTTTAGGAGGATGGAATCAGACAAGTTCTGGAGGAAATGAAAGCTTTATATGAACAAAACCAGTCTGATGTGTAAGTTTTGATGAGATAGATATTTTAAAACAATTTTAGCAATAAGATGTTGAAATCAGATAACCTTGCATTAGTCTTTGGAACTAATTATTTTTTAATTCTCTGAGCCTGATCATACTCTAGCTGTACAAATTATTATTATTATTTTTTTTTTTTGCGGTACCAGGGATCGAACTCAGGACCTTCCACTTCTGAGGCAGGTGCGGTGCCACTGAGCTAAATCCCTGGCCCCTCTAGCTGTACAAATTAGCACAGGACTAGAACTATAGGAATCTGTGCTGATCATTGCTTTATTTGTGATGCTAAAGTGATGCTTGCCACGTGGTAAATGTTTAATGAATATCTGTGATTTGAAGAGTGTGGGTTGAGAAGAATTAAATAGATCTAAAGATGAAACATGAGTCAGTAAAAACCCTAACAGTGTGAAACATACGTTTCTAGTTTGTTTTCTTTAACCGATCCCTCTTGTGTTTGTCTGAGGAGAATGGGCAATTTATAAACTTAGCAGGAGCTGTGTGATTTCTGATGGTCAAATTCATCTCACAAGAACTCCTGTCACAAAAGGCTGCTGCTTTGTAGTCAAGAGCATTCTCTAGCTTCCTCATTCAAAGCGAGCATGGAAATTGGTGCAGTGGAGAATCTGACCAACTTCCCAGAGACACAGTAGAGTAAGACCCAGAAGGGTGCCAAGTGTTAGATCAGAAATCAGGATGTCAGCCTAGAGAGGTTTGTTTTTGAGTTACTTGGATATGGAAATCAAGAGCATGCTAATAAGATTTGTAGGGCACACAAAGATGGGCACAAAATGATGACAGATGTATTTTTCAGCTACTGTGTATGAGTAGATAACAGAAAGATCTTTGTAGATAGAATGAGAAATGAGACCTCAGCAGGCTTGCAACACGTGTAAAAGGCAAACGGTCCTGGTCCAGGTCTCCGAGTCATTCACTGATTCAGCAAATACACAGTGAGGAGGTGGGGCCAACAAATGGCTCTGGTATTCCTGTGGTAAATGACACAGTCCAGATTCCTGTCTCGTGGCCCTTACAGTCTCCTGGAGGAGAAAGATAGTAAATGCAGTAAAAAGATAGTAAAGGCTACAGAATGCTATGGGTTAATAATGAAGATGTAGCTTGGATTGAGGAATCAGGAGTGGCAGAGACCTAAGCAGAAGCAGGTTTGACTGAGATAGTGATTGTGGCAGAGAGCATTCTAGGCAGAGGGAACAACATATGCAGAGGCCCTGGGCATGAAAGAAGGCAGCATGGCTGGAGCTTAGCAGAGGGCAAGAGGTGGCCCTTTGCTAGAGACGTTCAGGTGTTGGCGGGTGGTAGCTCATTTGTGTTCTAAGAAATTGTCTTGGATGCTTTGTGCATGGCTCCCAGAGAAGCTGAGAGGAGAGGGAGGCATGCTGGCCATATGGGTGATGTAGAGGTGACCTGAACAGGTAAAGAATGAACAGAATAAAGACATGTTCTGGAGATGCCTTTCAGGTCTTGACCATTAAGGGAATGATTTTCCTATATCACTGTATTTGTGCCATTTGAAAATTCATGACATGAAATTCTGTTTCCTACCCTCCTAGTTTCTCCCTGAGAAGGCAGTTATTGTTTATCAGTTTCTAGTTAAAATTATTTGTGAAAAGAAATTGATTCCTTTTTAATTGTTCATATATAAATGTGAATTTTTAAAAGAAATTCTTATGTACTTTGTACAGTACTGATGATAGGTCAGGTGTATTTTATTTGTACTCTTTTTTGTTTGTTTGTTTGTTTGTTTTTGGTTTTTTGAGATGGCCTCAGACTTACTGTGTAGCCCAGGCTGCCCTTAAACTTACAGTGATCCTCCTGCCTCGGCTTCCCAAGTTCTGAGATTACAGGCATGTGTATGTACCACCATGCCTGGCTGTTTGTACTCTTTCCTTGTAACCCAATGTACGTTGTAAGCAATGTGGAGAATAAATATGACCTTCATGGGGTGGCAGAAGTGTATGAAACAGATCTTAGGAGCTAAGGGTATAGTTTAGTAGTAGAGTACTTGTTAGCATGAGTGAAGCCCTGGTTTTGATCCATAACACCTAGGTTTGATCTCTAGTACCACAAAAACAAAGCAAATAACCCTACCTGATCTTGACAGTGTGATAGAATGGGATCTATTTTACCTGTATTTTGTCTCCCACTCCCCTCTACTCAATACTGAGGTTTGAATCCAAGGCGTTGCTAGGGCTTGACAAATGCTAGGTAGTATTCAATCACCGAGCTGCACCCCAAGCCCTTATCATTTTTAATTTTTTATTTATTTTTTGTTTTGTCTTTTTGGTATCGGAGATCGAACTCAGGACCTTGTGCTTGTGAGGCAGGCGGCGGAACCACTGAGCTAAATCCCTGACCCTTTAATTTTTTTTTTTTTTTTTTTGGTACGGGGGATCGAACTCGGGTCCTTGTGCTTGCGCAGCAGGCGGCGAAACCACTGAGCTAAATCCCCAGCCAACCCTTTAATTTTTTATTTTGAGACAGGGTCTTGCTGAGTTCTTCAAACTGGCTTCAAACTTGTGATCCTCCTGTCTCAGCCTCCCCGAGTGCTGGGATTACAGGAATGCGCCACACACCCAACAAATTTTTTTACCTATATAGTACTGTATTTCCAGGGTCTAATGAAGTGCTTGGCATGGAGCAGACACTACACAAATTAATCTTTTTCTTATTCATCTGGTTCCCTTTCAAATTCCAAAATAGATTCTTGGTTTGTTTTTTTTTTTGGTACCGGGGATCAAACTCAGGACCTTGTGCTTTTGAGGCAGGCGGCAGAACCACTGAGCTAAATCCCTGGCCCTCCAAAGTAGATTCCTTTTTTTTTTTGGTACCGGGGATTGAACTCGGGTCCTTGCTCTTGCACAGCAGTCGGTGAAACCACTGAGCTAAATCCTCAGCCCAGGAGATGTACTTTTTATAAGGAAAACAAAAATTTTCTCTACCTCGGTGTGAACACTGAAGTACAGTACATGTGCATAGTTGGAGATCAACAGATTTATTTATTTATTTATTTATTGAAACAAGGTCTTACTTTGTAGTTCAGGCTGGCCTTGAACTCATGACAATCCTCCTGCTTCATTCTGGCTCCCAAGTTTTGGGATTACAAGTGTGCCCCGCCATGCCTGACAACAGATTTTTAGAGGAATGAAGGACCATTTTGACTACATCTTAACTTACTTTATTTTAATAAGGACTTGGAACAACTACTGAAAGAGAACTACTACCTCAAAAAACATGAGAGGAGACAGGGACCTTCTGAATAGTACTGTTATGTTTGACTCTTATGCCAGCATGGTAAAGAGATTCCAAAAAGTGAGTGAACAGCATTTGTCTCTTAGAACCAACAGAGGTTAATCAGTGTGCAAAAACGCTAAGCACCAAATGGTTAAACAAAATGTATCTAGTAGTATGATTTTAGGCAAGTTATTTCACTTTGGACTTTTTTATCTTGCAACATATTAATCCAAGCACTGATGAGTAGGTTAACTGGTGCTAATAATTAATGGATAAAAACAAACACGTAAGGCAGTAGTTGTTAGCTTTGAAATCTTAGGCTGAAATGTACATAATTTGCTGTTGTGCTCTTTTAATGATCTTACAAGGAATGACGCAAAGTCAGGTGGACGAGGTGATTTGATACCAACTATCAAATTTCGGCACTGCTCTCTGTTGAGAAATCGACGCTGCACTGTTGCGTACCTGTAAGTGACTCAGTTTTTATTTGAGGTAACGAGGAACCTGGGAGGGTTTTCTGTGTCATTTGGTTTTCCAGGTAAACTTTACAAATGGTAGATTTGTTTCTTTATAAAAATTCTAAATTCTTTTATTTTTTCCATTTTAAAACTTTTTATTATGAAACAAGTCAATTGCAATATTCATAAAAGGAGAAAAAAATAACAATAAAATCTATGGAGCCATCAGATCTCCTTGAGTCTTTCTGTTTTCCTCTTGGGGTACTGGAGATTAAACCTCAAGCCTTAGCATGCTAGGTAAGTGCTCTACAACTGAGCCACATCCCCAGCCCTTTAATTAATTATTCCTTTTTTTTTTTTTTTTTTTGACAGAGTCTTGCTATGTAGTTCAGGCTGGCCTTAAACTCACTCAATATGTAGCACAGGCTGGCCTCGAACTCATAGTGATCCTCCTGCCTCAGCCTCCTGAGTGCTGGGATTACAGGTGTGTGCCACCATGCCCAGCTTAATTAATTTTTGCAGTACTGGGAATTAAACTAACAAAGTGTTGAGCTACATAGCCCTTGCCCTTTTTATTTTATTTTATTTTATTTTATTTTTTTATTTTTATTTTGAGACAAGATCTTGCTAAGTTGCCCAGACTGGCCTTGTACTTGGATCTTCCTGCCTTGCCTCCCCATTACCTGGGATTACATGCGTGCACTACTGTGCCTGGCTGCTCTTAGGTCTTTCATGTTTCACCGTATTTATTTCCTCATGTTTTGTTTGGCCCACACCTAGAGAAGTGAGCAGAGCAGCATCTTCCTGGGATCTGTCCAGTCCGTGTTTGTGTTTCCTCTGTTGTCTCAAGGACGTTTTCTTACAGGGGGTTTGTTTTATCAGGAGCCATGTAAAGGCTGCTGCTCTATCTGGGTTGTCTGTTGAGTCTTGATCAGAATGAGCTCTGAGCCCTTCAGTTTTCTGTATATGCTTCCTAGGTATGATCGACTGCTTCGCATCAGAGCCCTCAGGTGGGAATATGGCAGTGTCTTGCCAAGTGCTTTACGATTTCACATGTCTGCTGAAGAAGTAAGTGAAGTAGTGTTGTTCAGGGTAGTGAGAATGCTGAGCTTCTGAGATCATTCTGTAACTGCACTTACTGGTGTTTCTCTTTTTGTTTTTAACATTTGTTCCTCAGCAATGTTGGGCTGGAATTTATTTCATCTATACTGTGGTGAGAAGTATGTAGTGGGGAGTAATTCTAAATGCTATGTGAAAACTTTTGTTACCGAACAGATAGAGTGCCATTGTGCTATTTATTAGTAATTTATCAGTGGGATTAAAAAGCTGGCATTGGCTAGGTGTAGTGACCCATGCCTATAATCCCAGCACTTGAGAGGCTGAGGCCAGCCTGGACCATACAGTGAGAATTTGTCTCAAAAAACAAACAAACCGGGCCGGGGATTTAGCTCAGTGGTTTCACTGCCTGCTGCGCAAGTGCAAGGACCTGAGTTCGATCCCCAGTACCAAAAAGCAAACAAACAAACAAACCTACCAAAAAACAAAAAAACCTGGGATTATTATTTGAGCATTTTCCATAAAATGAGTATATATATCCACAGTTGTTGTTTTTTTCTGGTACTGGGGATTGAACTCAGGGCCTTTGCACTGAGCTATATCCCCAGCCTTTTTTCATTTTTTATTTTACTAAGTTGCCTAGACTGGACCTGAACTTTTGATCCCCCTGTTTCAGACTCCCAGAGTGCTGGGATGACAGGTGTGTGCCACCACACCCGGCCATATACACACTTTCGTATCAACATTATAAATTTATATTGGTAATAAAACTCTTACTTTATTCAGTCACTAAGGTACAGACCTTGCCCCATATTGCAGGCCATGGGATTGAAGCCAGGCAGACGAGTTCAAATCCTGGCTCTCCACTACATAATTGAGAGATTGGCTTGGCTTCTCTCCGTGTCTGAGTTCATTCACTTACAGTGAAGTCCATAGTGCTCACCATCCATCACAAGGCTCCAATGACTTCTGACACTGACTACCTGGAGTTAGACAGCCACCCAAAGTCTGCTCTCACTCCAGAACCAGCTACAAGCTCTGTGGTCCCACCCTCCCCTTAGGCTCAGTAATTCTCCAGAATGTCTCACGGGACTCAGGAAAGCACTGTGCTTAAAACTTCAGTGTCCTTGAGCAAAAAGGGTATAAATCAGAGCCAAAGAGGAGGCTCCCAGGATGTTGCAGACTTGGAGCATCAGGGATCCTCTCTCTGTGCAGTCAGGACTTACTGTGTATAATACCACACACAGAGTACTGTCAGCCAGGGCCTCCTGCAACCACTGGTGCCTAGAGTGCTCAGGGCTCAGTTCAGCAGAGGCTGTTGGCTGGCTCACTGGCCCTGGACTGGGCTCTTTCTCTTGTCCCTAGAGGTCAGATGTCACATGGCCCGGTGCCCAGTTGTCTGGCCCCATGTTTGGTCTGCTGGGTGTGCTCAGTCCCCCTCCAAAGCATCCTGTTTGCATAGACTGTCCAGGGTCCAACAAGGATCACTCATTAGCATAAGCTTTCAGCCCGGTGTAAAAACAAAGTGCTCCTGTCACTGGAGAAATTCCATGGATCTAGACACTCCCTCCCAGGAATGGGGACAAAGGCCACCTTTTTTCTTCATCATGCAGCAGAGTGATTGTCAGGGTTAAGGTGGAGTTGCTTTGGGTGAGGCACATGAATCACAGCACAGGACGCCACTCTGTAAACACTGCAGTCCCTGTACTGGAGAGCATAGCCCAGGGTTCATGGAAGCCCATGTTCATTATATTTCCCACTAGCTTCGGTATGTTTTTAAAGTGGCAGTTTATTTGTTAACTAATTTTCATCCTGTCCATTTTTTGCATAAATAAATGAGTGATCTCTACTCAGGTTTACCAATAACTACACATGAGTAATAGGTTCGGACTTCAGCTTTCAGGTTCTTATTTTCATGTTCTTTTGAGACAGGGTCTCACTATGTACCCAGGCTGGCCTTGAACTCATGGCAACCCTCCTGCCTCTGCCTCCCGAGTGCTAGAATTATAGGTGTGTGTCACCATGCCTGGCTTTCATGTTCTTTTGTGCCCAGATCTATTTATATGAATTGAACTTTGGAGATTTCTCCATGTGAATTATAGTGAAATGAACAGAACATAGTTACTTCTGAAATGGCAATAGTTATAATGAGTTTCTCATATGATATGTTAGCTCAGTATGTCTCATAATTTTGTAAATGATTGCACACTATCAATCAAGCTCATCTATTAGATTTCATATTGGACATTGTTTCTCTAAGGATAACACTTTTCTGTGATTAGTAAGGCAAGTTCATATTTTAGTAAAATACAACCATATGAACAGCATATAATGGATCTAGAAATTAAGTTAGTTGTGTGGGAGTAGTGAAACCTGAAACAATTTCTTGGAAGAGTTTGTGAATTACTATGAAACTGGCAAATGACTTCTTTCAACTCCAGTGTCTTCATCTATAAAAAGCAATATATGCTGAGTGTGGTGGCATACAACTGTAGTCCCAGAACTCTGGGAGGCTGAGGCAGGGAGATCAAAGGCTTGAGCTCAACCTGGGCAACTTAGTAAGGCCCTGTCTTGAAATGAAAAGTTTTAAAAAAGGGCTGGGGATGTAGCTCAGTGTGAAGGCCCAGGGTTCATTTCACAGTGCCACACACACAAGCACGCGCGCGCGCGCACACACACACACACACACACACACAGAATGTATTTGGCCTCTTATTCTCAATGGTGGCATTTTGGGAAAACTCAGGATGGAAATAAGAATTAATGCAGGCTCATTCCACCTAGATCACAATCATATCTGGCAACTGCGTCTGCCATTTTGGGCCGAATGTCTTCTGGCATCTGACAGCTTGCAGGAGATGTTGTGTCTAGGTGCCACTGTGCACATCTGTGCTGCCCAAGGGTGGTGCTGTAGGTGGAAGTCTGAGGCTCGAATCAGCACCTGGGCTCACACCTGTCCCTGTGTTATTTATTAACTCTCAGCTTCAGTTCCTCATCAGGAAAAAGAAAATAATAATAGTAGTCATGTCATAGGAATAATAAAATAATGCATGTTAATATTCCAGCAAATTCCAGATACATAGTAATGCAGTGTTAGTGAGGATATTGATGATATCAGCGTTGTGGACTTAACGTGACAGTAAAAGTGAAGAACACAGCTGGAACACAGAGACCAACATTGAAGACAGCTGTGCTTCAATGTTTAGAGAAACCACTGCACACTAAAAGAATACAAAAGTGGCTGTGTGGATAATATAGAAGAATTTTCTCTATATCTGATTTCAAAATAGTAAAATCTTTCATGTTTTCTTTAGCTCTGTTTTGCTCACCCAACTTGCTTTTTAAATGTAGAATCATCAAGCCTTAATACAAGAGATAATGAAAGATATTTTTCCTTTCTTATTATTTTCCTATGGATAAGTATTTTGTGACAATGTTAGTGTATTCTTTTGGAAGAAATGTGTACATTCTGCATTGCCTTTTCATCCCTGAGCAAGACTGAAAGGAGGTGACCCCTTCAGGGCTGAGCAGTGCTGATTCTCTCCCTCCCCGTTTCTCCTTGGGACCTGTGGTGTGGCCCCAGCTCCGTGTGGTTCTGCAGAGAGACTGAGGTGGATCCATGTGTGACCTGTTTGAAGCATCATGCATATTGAAACAAGATGTTGCTTTTAATCATTATATAATACACAACACTGCTTTCACCACCTAGGCATATGTCCTTTTTTACCATTGGTATTGGGTTTTTTTGGTACCTGGGATCGAACTCAGGTCCTTGCACTTGTGGGGCAGGTGGCAGCACTACTGAGCTAAATTTCCAGCCTACTGTTGGTATTTTGAAATCTAACATTTATGTGTCCTACACACTAATGTACAAAAATGCACACTGACAAGACGCACAGTGTCATGGTGTGTCGCTGAGGGCCCCTCAGGTCTACCACCCTGTTTGAGAAAGAGGACATCACTCTGGAGCTGTGCACCCTCTTCCCAGTGCCACTGCTGTCCTGATCACTTGCTTTTGGTCTGTCACCTACACCTGCCTCCCTGAACTCTGGAACTAGGGCCTTGCTTACACTAGACAAGTGCCCTGCTGCTGGGCTACATCCCAACCTTTTTACATTTAATTTTGAAGAAAAAAATTCATTTTGAGACAGATCTGGATCAAGATTGTCCACAAATACTGTATTATTACTAATGTGACTAATTTATCAGTCTTTGCTTTAGTGGTTGGTTTTTTTATTTTTGACCAATTGAAGAAATCCTTACCTATCTCAAGGCTATTAAGATATTTTTCTGTGCCATCTCATAGGATCTGTATTTTACCTTTCACAGAGACCTATGGTATTGGGATTGACTCCCATGTGTAATGTGGGAGGTTTCTTTGTGGCTCTGGACATTGTACCCAGTAGCGCTTGTTGGAAAGACCCTGTTTCTACCTGCTCTGTGCATGGTGCCACCTCTGTCATAATGAGTTTTGCTGTATTTGTGGGTTTTGGATGAGAGACTGTTTTCTGTCCCATTAGTCAGTCTGTCCCTGTACCGGTTCCGCTGTTGTGATTACTGTAACTTGATAATATGTCTCGAGCAAGTATTCCTGTCTTGTTCTTTTTCAAGTATTTTGACTTTTTCGACCTTCAAATTTCCATGTAAATTTTAGACTCAAGTTGCAAAGTTTCTTTTTCTTTTTTGGTACCAGGTTTTGAACTGCAAAGTTTCATTTTTAAAAAGTTAAGAATTTGAGATTGAGTTGAACTCGAAGATCAGTAGACATTTTTACAGTGTCATGTTGTATATCCCTCCATATATTTAGGTCTTCTTTCATTTCTCTCAACAATTTAAAAAAAACAGATTAACTGAGATGTGACACACACCTTCAAGTTTATCATTTTAAAGTGTACATTTCAGTGGTTTTCAGAATATCCATAGAATTGTGCATCCATTACCACCCTCTTATTTCAGAATATTTTCTTCACCCTAAAAAAAAATGCTGTACCCTTTGTCAATTACTTCATAGTCTCTCCTTTTATCCAGCTCCTAGAGATCACTCATCTACTTGTTATCTCTATAGTTTGCCTATAATGTGTTTTTCCTGTGGGTAGAATCATACAATATGTGACTGTCCCTTTTATTTAACGTAAGTTTTTAAGGTGCATCCATGTGGTAATACATGTCAGAACTTTATTTCTGGTTTTTTATGGTTGTTTTGAGGCAGGATCTCACTATGTAGTTAAGGCTGGCCTTGAATTCACAGTGATTCTTCTGTCTCAGCCTCCCAAGTGCTAGGATTACAGGTGTGCACCACCACCCTTTATTTCTGTTTATGGCTGAATAATATTCCATTGTATAGATATACACATCCATTCATTACTTGATGGACATTGGGGTTTTTCAATGCTCTTTAATTATATTTTATAGTTCTGAAATGGTGTCTTCATGATTCTGTTTATGTTTAAATGTTCCCCAGGTTTATGATTAAATATGCTGGAATGTAAGCTTTGTGCGAGCAGAGATGTTTGTTCATTTTGTTGAATGATCTACCCTGAGTCCCAGAACAGCACCTGAGTCCTAGAAGGCGGTCTGTATTGGTAGTGCACATGAATGGATGGTCAGTGTTGGACCATGTTGGATGAATTTACACAGGATGCAAGTTTTCCTATGATTTTGTCACATGACCCTCTCTGTGTTTGCAGATGGAATGGTTCAATCAGTATAAAAAGTCGCTTGCCACTTATATGAGGTCCCTAGGAGGAGCTGAAGGTTTGGACATCACACAAGACATGAAACCACCAAAAAGCCTATACATTGAAGTATGTATGTCTTAATTAATGTGTGGACTGTGCTTCCTTTTATCTAAGATGAGGGATGATATGAATATATACTAGCTTCTTTTAAACAATTAGAGAAGCATAAAATAAAACCAAAAGAGTGAGCTATGGGGGCAGAGATAAGATAGAGCAACTGAAGCCCATGTGCATGTTAGCTTTTATAGTTTTGCCTTGGGCCATATAAATATTTCCCTCTTACTAAAACAAAATTAAATCACAGTAGAAAACCAATCCGTAAATTTTGAAAACAAAGCAAAACAAATGAACTTATCTTTCAAGTTGGTGGATTAGTCAAACAGGAATTATTTTTGTGCAGTCTAGTTTATTTTTAGTTTGTTTGTTTTGTGGTACTGGGGTTTGAACCCAGGGCCTTTTTTACAGTAAAATAAAAATAATGAATTTTATAATCTTTGTTGTTTTTTTCCCATTAAGTTTATTGGTACATTTTAGGTATACATACAGATACAGTCATCATTGGGATCTTGTACCTTTACATGATGTATCTTGGTTCTTCTTTTTTCCCTATTCCCCTGCCCTCCCTTCACCCCCTCCACCCTTCCTTATTTACAAAGACTTTGTTTCAAATTTTTTCCTTTTCTCACATTTTTTTCTTTTCCCTTCTTTCCTTTCCCCTGGCCCTCCCACTTTCCCTACACTCTTAGACCTTTTCTTCCTTTTACACAATATCAATTACACATTTTGATCCTTATTTACTCTTTTAGCATTTCACACCAGAGAAACTATTCGGTATTTACACATGTGTCCTATTTATTTCACTTAAGAGTATGGCCTCAATATGCATCCATTTAGCTATAAATG